TGGCCTGCTGTGTTCATCCAGCTCTACACCTTGTTATCTCAGAACATGGGCTCTACCTGCTCTGATAGCCCCACAGACCTGTCACACCAACGCCCAGCGCCTTAACCCAGCCCCACCCAGTTCATGCGGAAACCTAACAACTTGCAGCTTCCTGACCCTTAACCTTGCCCCGCGCAGTTCACAGAGCAACCGATCAACTCGTAACTTCCGGAACCTTAACCCAGCACTGCCCAGGAGTGGGACAGGGTGGAAGTCAGGCACACTGACAGTGCTGTACCCATTCTTTGACTCCATGATGTGTCTTTATCTGTTGTTCCCTTAGCAGTGATTCTCATCTTCTGCTGTTGTCCTGGTGGCCCTGTTTAATGAGGTAATTTCTCCCCATTCCCCTGGTGGTCTTGTGGAGTGTGTGTGTCAGAATGTGTCCAGGATTGCTGAATGTCACAAGGATTCACTGTTAGTGTTTCAGATTTGAAACATCTGCAGGCTTTATCGGTTCAACAGTCTTGCCATGAAGCCTGAACTTTATGAATAATTTGATGGGTGTTTTGCAGTTTCTATTTAAACTATGATCAATAGTCGATCTTTCCATAGGTTGGGAGTGGATTTAAGTGTAGTTGCAATGTTACCAGGTCCCTCGATTCAATCACATTGCACAGCACTAGTATGAAATCCTCCCTAAACATTGACAGAAGGTGTGCGGACAGTGGAGGAAAAATGGAGAACAAACATCATGAGGTCAGTGTCTCATGTTATAGATTTCAATCATGTGGACTTGAGGCTGTAAAATGCCTATGCAGCCTAATGCCAATTCAGGGAAAAAAAGCCAACCAGGAGCTATGACCTCAGCAAGCAACCAGGCCCCAGGTCAGGGTATCCAGAACACAGTCAGGGTGACTGTGAAGAAGGTGGAAGAAGGCACACCAGTCGATCAGACCTTCTTTGTGAAGATTCTCCATGACTACTGTGGGTTCGAAGTGGCAGCTGTCTACTGCCTGCAGGATTTCCCTAGCAACCAGTATTTTGATGTGACCTTCTGGAGTGTGAAGCAAGTCAAATGCCTCTTGAAGGTATGCGAGGAAAAAGGGGAGAGTCCACTTTCCAGCCTGTCTGCAGCACCATTATTCATGATACCTGCACAGAGGAATTGGATCATCACTGTCCATAGCTACAGCCTCCATGTGCCAGCAGTGGATGTTTTGACCTTCCTGAGAAGATATGTGCAAGTAGAAAGTGGCAGCACTGGCATGGTGGACCCCTTCGGGATTTGAACCAGCAAAAGGCAGGTCAGGGTGACCCAGAGGGCAGATGCTGATGGGACATTTTCCACTCACTGTCCAGTTTTGCGATCAGAGGGCATCGAGGGTACATGACATACATGGGGCAGCGCAGTGTCTGTTGAACATGTCAGGGCACAAAGCAGCAGAAGACCCTGTGCAGGAACAATAAGGCAAAGAGCTGTGACCTGTGTGGGGTAGTGGGCCACCTTTACAAGGCCTGCCCAAGATGGTGACTACATATGCTCAAACGGTGAGCAGTGGCAACATGAGCCAAGGACTCTCACAGGACAGTCAGCTGCTACTATCAGGCAAGAAAACTGAAGTGAGGGCTCACACAGAAGGAGGGTCAGGCTGGAGAGAAAGTGAAGGAAGCCATAGCAGTGCCATGGCAGTCCACTCAACTTCCACCCAAAATTTCAGTCAATGGAGGAGGAAGTAATGAAGGAGTTGAAGGAGTGGAAAACAGTGAAGAAAACATGTAAAACGATGTTGAGACCCCATGGTCCAACAGCACAATGGGAAGAAGCAGCTGCACAATAGACACACCAACAGCTCCTTTGATGGGGAGGACTTACGGAGGTAGGGCCATCAGCAGAAAAGAAGAAACAACACCACAGGGGAGAAGGAGAGGAGCACTTCCCAACCTGAAAACACCAGACATTGCGATGGGCCCAGGAAAACGCAACCTCCAGTACTGGATCTGAGCATTATTCCAGCTCTTGCTCCTGTTCTCATGGATATATTCATCCATTGGGCTCTTGGTTAAAGCCAAGAGGAGTGCGTGCGTGTGCATAAACAGGTGATAATGGTATCCGAGCAACACAGAAGCTGAGTCTGCAGCAGGAATTGTAGATTTTTAAAATGAATTTGTGAACTGATCGACCGAGATAAAGGAACACAACATGGGCAAAAAAAAAACTTTGACTTTCAAAGACTCAGCCTCAACCGTTCAGGTCATTTGTTATCATTCAAGACAAAATGCTTCAGAACAGAAGCTGTGGAAGTTACCTCTAAATTGATAGCAAGCACTCATGTCCCTGATGCAAAAGTAACATTAAAACCACCAAACGTGAGCATAATTGTTTCTGTAGTATAAATTGATGTGAATTTACATTTTAACCACTTGTGGGAAATTTATCTGAAACTTAAATGGAGAATCAAAAGTTAACAAAAATAAATGATAAATCGTTTAGGTGATTTTTGAATTTCAAAAATAGTTTATTTTAGTCAAAATTCATCTGAAGATTAAGAGAACGTATCAGCTGTCTGAAATTTGGCTAAAGTTAAAATAAAAATTACTCCAGGCATAATGTACCAGGATATGTCCAAGCAATAAACACCAAATAAAATAAACACATGTTAATGCTCAGAATCAGATGGGAATGTTTCAATCCTGTCTGAAAGATATTCTGAGCATTGGACAGTCATCGGTCTCCAGGGTTCATGAATGAGACAGGAAAGTAACTATAATGGGATATGTACAATTGTATGAAAAGAAGTGATTGAGAGTTTGAGACAGAATTAAGGGAAGAAACAGCACCGAGTGGGAATTGCAATTGGAATAACTCACCTGGAATGTGGTTAAGTTGAATATATCAGCTGATGGACCTTGCAGTGAAAGGAAATTGTAGGAGAGACTAATTAATGGAAAGCTTCATATGGAGGCATTAGTATCCTTATTTATGAACTTTTAAAGAGAAATGCATTTGTTAATATAACCAATACCTGAGATATTGGGACTATGCCAAGGGAAATAAGCAAATACAGCCTTGGTCAGTTTCTGTGGCACATCCAGTAGACAGTACATACTGCTTGCTAGGGGGGAGACAGAAGGTGAGTTACTCACTGCCAAGTTCCCAGCTTCATACAAACATATGAATTAGATGATGATCTGTGTCATTCAGCCTCTCAAGCTTGTACGGCCATTCAATAGGATCATTAAATTACACATTCCAATCTATTCGCAATATTCATTAATCCCATTGCTAAACAAAAAAATTACTCCCTATGTCTCAAAAAATATTTACTGATTCCATCTCCAACACTTTGAGACAGACAGCCCCTAGATGCTGAACTCGGAGAAAAAACTTCTCTTCCCTCTCCCTTGAAAGGGCAACTCCTAATTCTAAAACACTCTAGTTCTGGACTTACTGACAATAGGAAACATAGGCTCAATTTTACACAAAATCAGTGGGTGCCATTCTTGGCCAATTTCGTGGAGTGTTCCTTTCCGTGCGCTCTCAGTGAGTTATCTCACACAATGCTCTGCTGTTCACCTCATTATAAATGCACCACAGGCTTCTATGGCTGTGTATTTTCAACAGGGACAGAGGAGTTTGATACTGCCGGGATCATCTGGGAATTCTGTCAGCAACTTCATATTTAAAGCCAAACTGTGCATCAGGTCAATCGCAGCCTGCCAAGAAGAACCCAGAGTGCATGGCGTTGGAGAGAAACAACACAGGAATATTACTGAGGGCACCTAGATGGCATAGGTGGCAATTCATTGTAAGCAGAAACTCATTTGTAAGTATATTACTACTTTATGTCATTACATGTCAGTTCAATTGTCAAAAGTAACAACAGCTAAAAGAATCAGGCTACCCATCCTTAGCACCAGACAGTCTCAGAACCCTGTCTCGGGGATGCTTCTCTTTCCCCAGTGTAGCATTAGCTTGTCATTGTTCATTGTAGGAGCATCACATGTAGGGAACGGTTCAAATAGTTGAAACCACGAACCTTTTATAGAATGGGAAAACAAGAAACACAAGTTACATTCAATTCCTGGAACCAACAGGGATTGTCTTTTGAGGGCCTATCCCTTTAATTATACTGCTCCCAGCACAATTACATTCCTGTTTTCTTCCCCATTTGAATGGTTCCTTGTCGAAAGGTATTATACATGAGATGGAAGCAGCAGGGGCAGCTGATCAGACTGTCTCAATCTCAGTGATGTAGAAGGCAACATCCACGCATTTGTTGTCAGAGGATAGAGAAGGGGGAGAAACTAACAAGATATTAAAAAAAGACTTAACACACTGTACTGAACACAAAGCTGATGTGATTGTTTTTCAGCCAGAACATTAGCCCCTAAAATTGGGCTGAAGTTTAATAATATCAGCAGGAATAGGCCTGAAATCAAATGGTTTAGTCCTGGCTATGCACAGAAAATTCCAGTCGCTTCAGTCATTTGTGAACTTGCTGGTGACTCAACAAGTGGGATGACAGAGTAAACCCATTCCTAGTCTCAGAGCAGGTAAGTGGCGTCTGCTCAATGTGAACTTGCCGGTGTCTGAGCAGGGTGGCTGACTGAGTGAATCCTTTCCCACATTCAGAGCAAGTGAATGGCCTCTCTCCAGTGTGAACTCGCTGGTGCATCAGCAGCGCAGATGAATTAGTGAATCCCTTTCCACACTCAGGACAGGTGAATGGTCTGCTCGCAGAGTGAAGGCGCTGGTGTGTCAGCAGGTTGGATGAAGTGGTAAATCTCTTCCCACACTCTGAGCAAGAAAACGGTCTCTCCCCGGTGTGGACTCGCTGGTGTACAGTGAGGTCAGATGATCGCTTGAACCCAGTGCCACAGTGAGTGCATGAAAATGGTCTCTCGTCAGAGTGAACACGTTGATGGACCATCAGTTCACCAGAACTTTTATAGAACTTCCTGCACTTTGGACATTTAAAAGGTCTCTCCTCAGTGTGAACCCGCTGGTGTTTTAACAGGACGGAAGACTGAGCAAATCCTTTCCCACATTTCGGGCAAGTGAATGGCCTCTCCCCAGTGTGAACTCGCTGGTGTATCAGCAGCTCAGATGAATTAGTGAATCCTTTCCCACAATCAGGGCAGGTGAATGGTCTCTTTGCAGAATGAAGACGCTGGTGTATCCGCAGGCTGGATGATGCAGTAAATCTCTTCCCACACTCAGGACAGGAGAACGGCCTCTCGCCAGTGTGAACCCGCTGATGTACAGTGAGATCAGCTGATCGCTTGAACCCTGTCCCACAATGAGCACACACAAAGGGTCTTTCATCAGAGTGAACGTGTTGATGAAGCATCACCTCCCTCGAACTTTTGTAAAATTTCCTGCAGTTTGGACATTTAAAGGGTCTGTTGTCTGTGTGAACACGCTGATGTGTCAGCAGATGAGATGACTGAGCGAATCCCTTTCCACACTCAGAACAAGTGAATGGCCTCTCCCCAGTGTGCCTACGTCGATGAATTTCCAATTCGGACGGGCATTTGAATCCTTTCTCACAATCCATACATTTCCACGGTTTCTCCATCGCGCAGGTATCCATTAGTCCCTCCCAGTTCAATGATTACTTCTCCACACAGACAACACTTGTACAATTTCTCCCCATTGTGAATAGCATGATGTTTCTTCAGGCTGCGTAACTGCCTTGAGGTTGTTGCCTTGTGCTGGAACCACCGGTGTTTGTCTCTGTTTTCTCCAGTTACCCTGATGTTTGAATTTCACCCCCACTTCCCGCTCAGAGCAGAGAAAGATTTCTCCTTTCACATTTCCAGATGGATGATATCCAGGCTCCGAGTGACATTACCATTTGGTTTGGTGAGAGAATTGTTTCTGTAAACCCTTCCCTCACACCCCGTAAAGGGAGTTTGCAGAACAGCTAACCACGATCGGTGCAGGATAGAAATTCAGAGCAGACAATCCCAGTTTGAATCAATATTTACTCCTCGTGTTGTTTGCGGACAGAGCCAGAGCCCGAGGCTTTCCGCCGGGGCTCGGTGTTGGGCTTGCGGCCTACACAAGATGTTTCTGAAGCCTCCTCCCCAACCCTCGGGGTCGAACCCTCCCTCGTCCCCCAACCCGCACTCACTCGGCTCGACCGAACCTGGTTCCGCATCTCTACTGCGCATGCTCAGTAGTCGGCGTTCCAGCGATAGGCGACTGCTCTGGGCCAATATGACGAAGGGGGCGGGGCTGGAGGGCCGATCCTCTAACCAGAGTGAATGGGCAGTGGGGCGAGAGGACTAAAGTCTGTGAACGGAGCGGTCAGAAATGAAAGCTGTGATAAGTTTTACAACCTCCGACCATTCTCAGTGCGTAGTGGAAGATCAAATGTCGAGAAGAAATAAATGGGAGAATTTATTAAACAGTGGAGAAGTAAACAACGATATTTTCCCGTAGAGATAGTAGGAACTGCAGATGCTGGAGAATCTGAGATAACAAGGTGTCGAGCTGGATGAACACAGCAGGCCAAGCAGCATCAGAGGAGCAGGA